GGCTCTAAGGTATACCCAAATAGGTACCCATTCCACCTTCCTTTGTAAATCCAAGGAAATTTGTCAATTCCTCTTTTTTTTGGTTTGGTACACGATGACCAAACACGATCGAAGATTTATTAAAATTTATCTCTTGCCCCGAAGCTTTACCATAATTTCCAATAATATCCATCACTGTTTTACATTGCTCCATATCTGCTTTACAGAAAAATAGACTATCATCCGCAAAAAGCAAATGTGAAATAGGAGGACTCCTTTTTGCTATTTTAATTCCGGTCAACCTCTTCTCTCGTTCTGCTTTTTTAATATTAGCAATCAGGACCTCTGTACATAAAATAAACAAATAAGGGGATAGGGGATCGCCTTGTCGTAAACCTCTGTTGGGAATTATATGTCCTCTAGGTTCCCCATTTAATAAAACCTGATACGAAACTGAACTAACACTCCACATAATCCAAGAGATCCAATTTGAATTGAATCCTAAACGAGACATAACCGCTTCTAGAATCTCCCATTCGATCCTGTCATACGCTTTGCTCATATCTGTTTTAATTGCCAAGAAATCCGTTTTACACATTCTATTTGTCCGTAATCCATGAAACATTTCCTGAGCAAGCAAAATATTATCTGTAATAAGTCTACCTAAAACGAAAGCCGATTGTGTTTCAGAAACTAGCCGTGGTAAAATCTTTTTAAGCCGCAAACATAGAATTTTCGAAATTATCTTATAACTCACATTGCAAAGACTTATTGGCCTAAACTCTGCCATCTTTTGAGGCCTTTCGGTTTTTGGAATCAAACAAATATTTGTTTCATTAATTCTCTTATCAAAACTACCTGTTCTGAGAAAATCTCTAACCAAACCAACCAAATCTGCCTTTAAGGATTGCCAATACCTTTGATAAAACAAAGCCGTCATACCATCTGGGCCTGGTGATTTTTCTGGGTGCATAGAAAATAAAGCTTTCCTAACTTCAGCTTCTGTAACCTCTTTGGTTAGCTCCCTATTCATATTTTCCGTAATAATCGGAGACACTTCTTGTACCATCTCAGCGATTCCATCTATATTGGAAACCGTAAGAGATCTTTAAAATAATTAGTTGCTATCTCCACCATTCCTGATTCTGATTCCTCCCAAACATCATTAGGACCATATAAACCTGATATCTTATTCCTTGCCCTTCTTTTTTTGTGGAGGCATGAAAGAATTTGGTATTTTTATCGCCTACTTTTAACCAAAAATTCCTACTTTTTTGTTTCCAATAAATTTCCTCCTCATGGTAGGCTTCTTTTAATTTATTTTCGATTCTTTTTATCTCCTCTTGCGGAATAGAATCGTCATTCTTCGCTTCTTCCAAAGCCAACTTAAGGGAAGAAATATTTGTCTGGCCTGTCGGGAAATTATTTTTCCTCCACCATGAAATGGAGTTTCGACAATTTTTAATTTTATCCACAAAAACAGGAATTCTAAAATTTCTTGTTCGATTCAAACCTGAATCTATGGCCTCTGAAAGGCCATCCTTCCCAACCCATCTCTTATCAAATCTAAATTGTCTTTTTTTTTTTCTTGCCAAAGATTTTTCACAACTCAATAGAATTGGTCTATGATCAGAACCAATCATGTCCAGATAATCCACTTTTGAATATGGGAAAAAGTTATGCCAATCCTCATTTCCCAAAGCCCGATCAAGTCTACATCTCACAATTTGTTGGTTTCTATTACCTCTCCATGATAGTTGTTCACCATAGCATGGGAACTCTAACATACCGTTATGTTGAATCATTAGGTTAAAAGAAACAAAAGAAGCAGCGGATCTTAAGTTACCACCTGTCTTTTCATGGTTTCCCGTCAACTCATTAAAATCACCAATCATTAGCCATGGTTTTTTCCGATTAAGACCCAACCGGGATATTTTTTCCCAAACAATATCACGTTTTGAGGCAACAGGGTCACCATAAACAAACGACATAAATACTATTTGTTTCCCGAAAAATGCTTTAACATCAATAATCCGATTGCTTTCATAAAGAATCTCTAACTTTATTTCATTATTGTAAAATAAAGCTAAGCCTCCACTAGCACCGCTAGGGTCGACTGAATACAAATTATTAAAACCAAACTGAGACTGAAATTTCTGTAAATAAGAAAAACATTTTTTAGTTTCTGATAAAAATAAAATGTCCGGCTTGTGCTGTCTCCATAAATCCCTTAAGTAATTCTCTGTCAGATCAGCCCCTACTCCCTGACAGTTCCAGCTCAATATCTTCACGTATGAGCCGGTGGTTTCGGAAGAGCCACCATCCCTTTCTTAGACATTCGATTTATACCTCCAGATTTTGCTCCCTCCTTGGGTTTGTTCTTACCCGCAGCTCTTTGTTTGCTCACATCATCTGCAATTTTATGAGACATCACATTAGCCAATAATCTTTTCCCCGGTGAAGCCACTAACTTTGAATAATTATTTCTACCCTTAATTCCTTTAGCCCCAAGAAAAGTAGATCCTTTATTTCTCTGAACCTTAGTACTATCCAATTCCATACCATTCATTCCCTGGCTAACATAATCAATATCATTTGACAAATCTTTAGGGACTGAAAAAATACCTTGAGGACCAATTTTTTCCCCCTCTGGGATAATCTGTCCGTCAGCATCAGTTATTTCCTCCATTGTCTCTTGATTGTCAGTTTCCTCATCTACTTGACACTCTCCATCCTCTAGTAAGTCATCAGCACTTTCCGAAATCTGTATGCCTGCATTGATATCCTTATCTTCCATCTCTGGAACATCCTCCATTGCCAAATCGCCAAGATCATCCCCTTGCTCCGAGTTTTTAGTCTCCTGCGTTTCCTTAGAGACTGTTTTGGGCTGGTACAAGGGTTTTGGCCAAGCAGGACCTGCTCCTTTCCTTCCATAACTTGTTCCCTGTGATTGAGAATGAGCTTCTTTAAAGCTATCCCTAGCTACAACCTTCTCTAAGGTTTCACTACTTTCAGCCCAAGTTCCCGGAAAACTCTTTTTCTGTCCCCAAATGGGGCCTTGATTCTTCTCAATTTTCTGATGGCTTTGTTTATTACTATCACCCATCTCCGAATGATAGCGGAATCCTCCATTCATTTCCTCACCAGAAAATTCCAGAGCCCTTTTCGCAGCTGGTTTCCTTGGTTTTTCCCAGCCACCATCTTGTCCTTGAGACACTAGTTTAGCATTATTATGCTGTCTTTGACCACCTCTGCGATCACCATATTCCTCATATAACCTATTCCCTGCTTTCTTCTGCAATTCTGGACATACTACCATATCATGCGTTAAGCGAGAACAATGTTGACAGAAATTTACCAATTTCTCATAATCCAGAGAGACCACCACCTCATCACCTGTATCAAAGGGTACCACCATTTGAAACACAAGAGGATTGAAGCCATTTACTGTGACGTAGATGCTTCCTGAATCCACGTCAAGATCTCGGATTATTCCTATTTTTTTCCCGATAGCCTTTAGTGTTGCTTCCTCCCACAGGTGCATTGGGAGGCCAGAAACTTTTACCCAAAAGTTTATGGCCGACGGATACGTAGCTGAGATTATAGGTTCCCACCTAACCAAAGCAACCATCCATCCATTAAAGTGATATGGAACATTCTGCAAGACACCATTCAAGTCCTCTTCAGCTTGAAAATTAAACTGAAATATACCTTTCCCTAAGTCAGCCCCAGTCACCTTATCTTCAAGTTTCCAGATTTTTGGCATATTCGCCACCAGAGAATCCATCCTTTGGACACTCGGATTCATTAACCTCCCAATAAGAGTAAGAGAAAATTGTTGGATCCTTTGAGACAAAATAGAACCCAAAATCTTCACCACTTCTGTGCGTACCATCGCAGCCTTGCCTTTGTTCAACGCTAGTTGAGCCATATGAACCAAATTGAGAAACTGAGACAAAAAGAGACGTGAAGACAGAAATTCAGTTTCTTTATCTGCTGTAAATTGATAAAACAAAGTGATAATAGACGAGTGAATAATACAAGTCTTTTTATAGAGGTACCACGAAAGAATTATTTTTGAATCTCCACAGATCATACACCATAAAACGCGAATCCTCAATAGTTCCTTAATTTCCAATGAAATCAAAACATTGTACCAAATCATAACCATTAAAAGGAATAAGAGAAGAGATCGAGATTGATAAGAATCTATACTCTTACCATTTTTGGAGCCCACTACCAACCATACAATCTCTATGATCTTGCTTGATTTAAAGTTTCCAATATTCAAAACCTTGATCACAGCTATCCTCATACTGATCCCCAAATAACAGCCTCCTAACCGCCTTCGCATCTGAATCAAAACGAGATCAGACATAGATTCTTCCAACTGGTCCAATCTGGCACCAACCAATGTCTCGCCATAACCACTTTTAGCAGAGGAAAATCCATCAATCGAGATTTTGAAAATAAGTTTTCCAAAACTCCACCTAAAGATTTCCGAATTACCATCCGTAATCAAGAGATATGACGAATCCTTGAAACAAATCCACTTTAACTCGCCAAATCGATAGATCTGTGAAATCCTCAACTGATTAATCCGAGATTCCAACCCTCTGAATACCAAATGAAAAGAAATCTTCACTTGCCTAGAACAGAGCCAATCCAAATCCCGTAGAAAGACAATCACCACGAATCCTTTCTCCAAGCCAAAAATCACCCGAAATAAACCATTTCTAAAGCCCCAATCAACCGAAAAACACCTGCTCATGGTTGGGTTTCAAAACCCTAGAGTCACCATTTGAGTCGCCGTCTTCGACAAAATCTATTATTTTATTAATTATATGCATTTCATATACCTTAAATTTTTGTTAGTTATAGAAATAAATTGTATTTTTTTATATTCATATGATGAAGCCATTGAGTCATATAAGTGGGTTCTGAAGACTTTTCTTGGAGCAAAATATGAAAAAAACCAAAAATTATTCTTACTTGTGAATCTACAGCAATAGCAAATGTAGTAGTGAAGGTATTCCCTGAAACAAAACATAGGTTATGTGTTTGGCATATTTACCTAATTAAATTCCGCAAAGAAGTTGAGTCATATATTTCATGGGCTAGGACAGTTTGCCACAGACTTCGGAAATTTTGTATATGACCATGAGGAAGAAGATGACAAAAAAAAAGACCATGAGGAAGAAGAAGACTGGTTATTGGCATGGAGTAATATGCTCAATAAGCATAATTTGGCAGAGAATAAATGGTTAAATAATATGTTTGAGATGAGAAAAAAATGGACAATGGTATATATAGATGTCATACTTTTACAGCATATATGGTGAGCATCACAACTTATTGAAAGAATGAATAATATTTTGAAAAGATACTTGAAGAGTAGTTATCACTTGTTGTCCTTCTTTGAACACTATGAGAGAGTGATAGATGATCAGCGATATAACGAGTTAAATGATGACTTCAAAATGATGTAAACCTCTTCGGTATTATCTGCTAATGTATAGATGTTGCAACATGCAAAGAGGTGTATATATACACCCGAAGTTTTTAAGTTGTTATAGAAGCAATATACATTTATCAGTGATAATGTTGAAAAAAAAATTCTAAGATAGTGTATGAATACAAAGTGATGAGAACATCGAACTACCTCCGGCCACCAAACCAACAGCTCATGAAACAGCTAACGTACCGTTCGTACCAAACCTACCAATGACCTAGTAAAGGATTCAATTCCTACATAACAAGTTCAATGCCTTCATCGAGAAACTACTTGACGTTATGTATCATGCAACAAACGACTTATTGTCTACAGCTCGACACCAAGACTGACTTTCCAAACAAGATAGAAGATGGTCAAGGCAAGCTACTTGTATCAGTGGAAGAAGCAAGCTTTACAAGTGATGAACACCAACAACAAGTCAACAACTTGGAAGAAAATCACCAAGCTGAGGCAAGAGACCATCAAGACCATCTGTTTTCATCACACCATGAACCATGGCCTATGTTCATAGCTCAAGCCGGCTGTTCCATTACCACTTTAACGAACCCCTCTCCGTCACCGACTTTTTATTGACCAATCAAAACTTATCATTTAATCTAATTAAATAAATTAAAATAATAAATATTATCAAAAACAATAATCAGATTTAATCATTAAAAATCAAAATTTCATTAATTGTGGAGGCTATTAACTCTCTCATTCACGTAAGACTCCTAAATCTAATAGGAAAAAAAAAACTTAATAAGTCAATAAAAAAACCTAAATCTCAATGTTATATAAAGTCATTACTCCTAACCTTATTCATAATTTTTTTCTATTCTTCTTCTCACATAACATCAAAAGAGATTAGTTTATCAAAGGAAAGAGTTTCACGTTTCTACACAATTTAAACGTAAGTCAAAATAATTTTTATATTTACATCAAAGGTTCTTAGTTTGAAAATTAGTCAATTGAAGATTTTCTATCTATTAGGTTCATGTATTGAATATCACATAAGTAGGGCGTTGTTTGTGTTTTCTAAGCATGTTAGTACGTGAATTATTCTTTTTGTTTGGTATGGTTTTATTTGTATTCTATTTTTGTTAACTTGGTTTTCAAATGTCAATTTTTTTTTGTTGCACCACAAAAAGAATTGTTCTTCTTCCTCATATTTTTTTTTTGGTCGTAAGATCGTACCGTGCTATTTTTTTTGTTTTATTGGCAAGATTTATATAACATAATAGAAATATATATATATATATATATATATATATATATATATATATATATATATATATATATATATATTGATTAGTGCAAATTGCAATGGAAAGTAGTGATGAGGAAAAATATGATTCAGTAAGTGAAGACGAAGCTTCAGTCAGTGAAAACGAAGCTTCAGTCAGTGAAGACGAAGCTTTAGTCAGTGAATACGAAGAAGAAAAAGATGATATAGTCAACAAAGAGAACTACGTTAAAACTGAAGAGAAGAAAGATGAACTGAGTATTGGAATGGAGTTTAGTTCTGATGAAACTGCACATAAAGCTTATAAAAAGTTTGCAGGCGAACATGGTTTCAATGTAAGGAAGCAACGGAGAAAGAAAAAAATAATAAAGTAGTAAGGCTTCTCTATGTTTGCTCAAAAGAAGCATTTAGGAAGGAACCTAAGATCAAGACATGTTATTCACAGCCAATTACACGGTGTGGTTGTAAAGTTCATATGACTTGCTACCTTGAGAGGACGTGAAGATATAATATTGTGTCTTTCAACCAGAATCATAACCATGATTTAGTGAAGACGCCTATAAAGCATTTGCTGAAGGGAAACCGGATGTTCTCTGTCGCTCAAATACAACATGCTGATGATGCCGAAATGTCAGGAGTTTCAGCAAAATCAACTGTTGAAATGATGACTAGAGAAGTTGGAGGGCGAGAAATTCTGGGGTTTTTGGAGAAAGACTATCGTAATTACATTTATCGAAAGCGAATGGAAAAAATGGTAAAAAGAGATGCTAGAGCAGTTTTGGAATACTTTCAAAGAAAGAAAGAGGATAATTCATCTATTTTTTATTCAATGCAACTTGATGAAGACGATATGATCACGAATATCTTCTGGGCAGATGATCGGTCTATAAGTGATTATAATCTTTTTAGAGATGTCGTCTGTTTTGACACAACTTACAAGACCAATGAATATAATAGACCATTTGCTCCATTTATCGGGGTCAATCATCATAAGCAAACTGTAGTGTTTGGTGCTGCTCTCTTATATGATGAAACCACTGAGTCATATAAGTGGCTTTTCGAGACTTTTCTTGGAGCAATTTCTGGAAAACTTGATGTGTGTCGGGATGACGATCAGGTTTTAAAAATCCCAAATAACACAATTAATAAGCTGCAAGTGCACAGCAATCAATCGTAGTACTTAGGGTATCGAATCCACAGAGAGAGAAGTAGTTCGGACAAGTTTATTAAGACAAAGCAAAGCTAGAACAAGCAAGTTTGTCACAGTTGCAAATGAAAGTAAAAGAAAGCAATAAGAAAGCAAAGTAAAAAGCAAGTAAATAACGTAAGAAAACTATGAGAGACAAACGTTGGGAATCAAGGGTATCGCAGGGGGTTCAATGATCGCTATCTAAGTAATACTATAATTAAGTTTGTTTACTTCCAAGTCTCGGACATACGAAACACTAAGATTCAGCTTATACTAGGTTATAGGATAAGTCGGCTAAAATCCTTATACTCCGTTACTCAACTAACGCATGAAACGATGCATATATCAAAGCAATAAGATCAAGTTTGATTCTAGTCCATAAAGCCCTATAACTAAGTGGTGTGTGCTTGTTATAACACGATACACATTCGTAAGCTAGGTATAGCGTATTAAACAACCTTGTGAGCAATTTAAACACTTGGGATCACGAGTTAGGACATGAATCTAACTACATGCATTAAGAAACAACTTACTTAGAAAGAACAGTGTAAACGATCAAACAAAATCCTAAATATTGCCACCTAAACGATCGGCCATATTCCCCCCTTTGATTAACCCTTTAAACCCAACTAGAAAACTACTCTAGCATGGTTAAAGAGATCATAAAAGTTAGGTTTGATAAACTCATAAGAAAGAGAAGAATAAGAACTGAATAGGGTTTAGAGATTACTTCTTTGAATGTAGAATACAAGAGGTAAGACTTCACCTTAATAGATCTTAGAGTAAACCAGAGAAAAGAGAGATTTGGTGATTCTTCAAAGCTTCAAAGGGCAACGGCTGCAGCTCACGACGAGGGCAGAGAGGACTTGAGAGGCACGGCGAAAAAGCACTCTTTAGGGTTAGGGCTCTCAACATGTATTTATAGGTTTCGGGAACCAAGGATTAGGTCAAGGGGCAAAAGTGTCTTTTCCCTTAGATTAGGTTACGTGCAACTCACGTCTCTGGATAGGGTAGAGGCTTTAGTGACCGGGATAGAGTGTAGGAGGCAGCCCGGGCTCGGCCCAAGTGGCCGGTGTGGTTTAGAAGCTCCGGAACGGTCGCACAGCTTCTGGCCGGTCTGGACATGTCTTCACTCTTCTGGTCAAAACTTCTGAACAGCTCCATGAAAAGCTCTGATTCTACTTCGAGGCAAAGCTTGACTCTTCTAGCTTTCCACAGCCACTAAGATCTCTTGATTTGGTAATCGGGAAGACCTCGAACGGTTGCCATACTTCTGACGTACAGAAACTATCTTGAAACGAATTTTTGATCGCCTTTCTTGTATTTAAAGCTCAAAAACTCTTAGAACCTTCTTGGCTCCATAAATACTTGAATAACTCCTTATTAGCTCTGAAATCACTCCAAATGCTCCCTAAAACATAAGAAAACAATAACAAATATGGGCGAAAATCCCATGTTATCAAAAACAACCAAAAACTATTCTTACTGGCCAATCTGCAACAATGGCGAATGCAATAGTGAAGATTTTTCCTGAAAAAAAACATAGGTTATATGTTTGGCATATTTACCAAAATGGTGCAAAAAAGTTGAGTCATATATTTCATGGGCCTGGACAGTTTGCCACAGACTTTGGAAGCTGTGTATATGACTATGAGGAAGAAGAAGACTGGTTATTGGCATGGAGTAATATGCTCAATAAGCATAATTTGACAGAGAATAAATGGTTAAAGAATATGTTTGAGGTGAGATAAAAATGGGCAAAGGTATATGGTCGTCATACTTTTACAGCAGATATGGTGAGCACACAACGTAGTGAAAGTATGAATAATATTTTGAAAAGATACTTGAAGAGTAGTTATGACTTGTTGTCCTTCTTTGATCACTATGAGAGAGTGTTGGATGATCGGCGATACAACGGGAAATGCTGACTTCAAAATGATGCATACCTCTTCGGTATTATCTGCTACTGGAGAGATGTTGCAACATGCAGAGGAGGTGTATACACCCAAAGTTTTTAAGTTGTTTCAGAAGTAATATACAGTTATCGGTGATTATGTTGCTAAAAAAATTAGTAAGTGTTGGTGTCGGATCCCGCACGGGTAGCTCGGGACCAACCAAAGATTGCCACATAGGCAGGACAGGAGCCCATAAAGGACAAGGCCCGTTAGACTTATAAGCCCAAGAACTTAGTCGAGGTGGTTATACCACGAAAAGGGATCGGAGTGGTTTAACCCCGAGGTAAAGGGCGAAGCCTACGAGGATCAGAGTTAATTCAAATTTGAACGTTAAGCATTAAATCTCGAAGATCAAAACGGACGTATTTAAGAGAGAATAATTGTACTTAATTAGCCATTTAAGTGTTGTTTTTCTATGTATAAATATGAGGGCAAATGGCCATGTAAAGGGGATCTCTCTCGAAGAAGAAGAAGAAATACTATAGCAATTTTTGTAGCAATCCATAAGTTTTTTACACATTTATTTTTTGTCCCTCAAGAGTAATCTTTCCTACTTAATAAAAATACTTGAGTGTGTGAATCCGACTTCCACATTTTGGCGCCGTCTGTGGGGAAAGAGGATTCTTGAGTGGTCAGATTTTTCTTTACTACATTTCCGAGATAAGCAACAATGTCCGGAGGAGACGCTGCTGAATTATCATTGGCCGAAACCCTCAAAGCCATGCAACAAACCATGTCAGAAATGTCGCAGAAGTTCTCGAATGTGGAAAAGGCTGTCGACACGTTACAAACATCCCAGGTATCTCTTAGTCAAATTCAGTACTATACAAACTCGTGTTCGCTCTTTAAGTGCAGGAAACCCTGTGGGAATCCGAAGAAGGATATTCAACTCGCCAAGTTCCGTTGCGCGAAATGAAACTAGCGGACAAACAACTCCTGGTGCTACTAATAATGTAGTTCAGCCATTGGAGGGAGAGACACAGCTCGAAGATGAAGTTCAACTTGCAGATCAATACGAACAGGAAAATCTCGTCCAGTTCGAGACTATGAGGAAGGTTAGCCAGGAACTAAAAGAAATGAAGTCAAAGTTCCATCAGGCTACGAGTTCGGAGCCGGATATCAATCGAGTCATTGAAGAAGCTAGGCGAACACCTTTCATTCCGCGAATCGCAAGTTTAAGAATCAAAGATTCTCGGAAGCTCAAGTTGGACCCTTACAGCGGATTGGAGGATCCAAAGAGCTATCTCTCAGCTTTCCTGATAGCTGCCGGAAGAGTCGAATTGGATGAAGCTGATGAGGATGCAGGGTACTGTAAGCTCTTTTCGGAAAATCTATGTGGCCAAGCTCTAATGTGGTTCACCCAATTAGAACCGGGTTCGATCAGCAATTTCGACGAACTATCAGCTGTGTTCTTAAAACAATATTCCATCCTTATGGACAAAAGTGTTTCGGATGCCGATCTTTAGAACCTATCACAAGGATCAAATGAGTCACTTCGAGTTTTCATCACCAAGTTCAAAGGAGTGCTGCCAAAACTCCCAAGAATCTCGCAGCAATCAGCTTTATCTGCCCTACGAAAAGGATTTCGACATGATTCAAGGTTTAAAGAGGATTTAATACTTCATAAACCAGACACAATTCAGGACGCACTCTTCCGCGCAAACAACTGGATGGAAGTAGAGGACGAAAAAGAAAATTTTGCCAAAAGAAATAAACAAGAGAAGCCGGCAATCACCGTCCCTATCAAGAAGTTCGAGTCTAGGGAGAGCAAAGGACCAAGAAAATTTGGGTCTCAACCCTTCAACGGTATTGTGGGAAAGCAATTCCAAGGGAAAGAAAGGTCAAACACTTGGGTCCGTGATGAAAGTTTATATTGCGATATTCATAACGTAACCGGACATTTAACCAAGGATTGTAGTGTCCTTAAGAGGCATCTCGCAGAGCTTTGGGCCAATGGAGATCTTTCCAAATTCGATATAAAAGATTTCGTAAAGGAATACCACAAATCAAAGGATAACTCCAAAGATCAAAATTCTAAAAGACCAAAGTTATCCAATGAGGAAGAGCCAAGGAGTTCGAAGGGTAAGATCAATGTGATTCTAGGAGGTTCTAAATTTTGCCAAGATTCGATAAGTTCCATCAAGAAAAATAGGCGAAATGTTTTACTCAAAGCAAGTTTGAGTGAAGAAGTCGATTTTCAAGGTGCATCAATATCATTTGACGAAGAAGAAACGCGGCACCTCGAGAGACCTCATGATGATGCATTAGTCATTACCTTGGACGTTGCCAACTTCGAAGTATCAAGGATTCTTATCGATACGGGCAGTTCGGTTGATCTAATCTTTTTAAGTACTTTAGAAAGAATGGAAATTAGTCGGGCAGACATAATAGGGCCTCCATCTCCGTTAGTGGCATTCACAAGTGAATCAGCCATGTCCCTCGGAACAATCAAGCTACCAGTCCTTGCCAAACGGGTGTCAAAGATTGTGGATTTTGTTGTCTTCGATAAGCCTGCAGATTACAACATCATCCTCGGGACTCCCTGGATTTATCAAATGAAAGCGGTCCCCTCTACATATCATCAATGTATCAAATTTCCAACATCAAGTGAAGTAGAAACAATTCGGGGAGATCAAGAAGCTTCACGGACGTGTTATCTAGCTAGCCTTCGTATGAAGATTCAATAGCAATTAACGAAGCCCGCAAAAGAGGGACTAAGGCCAAAATTTCCTAGCGGGCAGAAAAAAGATAATGTAGTAGTCGAAGTGGTGTTGGAAGAAGACAAACCGGACCGGAAAATTCGAATTGGGGCAACTTTGACTGGCCAAATAAAAGAAGCTTTGATCGAACTCTTGAGGAAAAACATAACATCATTTGCATGGTCAGCGGCGGATATGCCCGGCATAGATCCAAGCATAATTTGTCATGAATTAAACGTGGATCCAAGCTTCAAGCCGGTAAAACAAAAAAGAAGAAAGCTCGGAGTGGAGCGAGCAAGAATAGTAAATGACGAAGTGGACAAACTCTTAAAGA